GATATTAAAGGAAAATTGTTCTTTGAGTTATACATGGAATGGGCAGTTTCAAGAGGAGAGAGAGAATGTAAAAGGTGGTTTAAAACTCAACCAGATCCAAGACCGTTCCTGGAATAYMTCGAACCATGTCCTTGYACATCTCGTCAAGCTTGGTTTGACGAACGGTTCACTCCACTTCCTGGATTGCGTTGGTGGTCCAACCCAAGCCCGTGTGCTCTTTCAACATTTACTTCYATTGATGGCTGGGAGCAAAAGTGCTGCTATTCTCATGAATCTGGACAGTGGGGAGCATTACTTGTAGGTCATCCTAACGGAGGCTACTCGCACAGATACAGTAAAATCAAGCAATCGGGAAGTCATATAAACAGTGATGTCATGGGCTACAAATATTGCTGTGTGGATTCAAATCTTTGCCATCTTTTCTATCAAAGAAGACCTTCAGATGACTGTAGTCGATATGAGCCTCCAGAATGGAGTAAGTTCAAAGTGCATTGAGTACGCCTCAAATTTTTAAAAGTAAACGTGAGCGTTTCTATATCTTTTTTCCTTATCTCTATGTAGGTTGGATGTGGGGTGATCCACATTTTGTTACATTGGACGGCAAAAACTACACTTTCAATGGACTTGGCGAGTACGTTATGCTCGATGCTAAGAACGGTTTCTTCCAGCTCCAATCAAGGACACGACTAGCGAAAGGAGAAGGAACAGCGACAATATTCTGTGCAGCTGTGATGAAGGAATACAATTGCAGCACTGTGCAGCTCAATCTTGCAGAGAATGGTAAGTCATCTTCTCTGGCTTACATGGCTCCAGTAGACCTCTGTTCTCTGGCCCTCTCAGGTGTTATATCGGGGTCAATTTTACTTTTGTTTTCATGGTATATATATTGTATATTGTCTGTTATATAACGATTTTGATCGTGGTTTAGATTTTAAAATAAAGCGGTTATCCTGATTATTCTTTTTGGCATTGTTTTAATTCCAGGTTCCATGTCTGTATTGATTGATGGTGAACTACTCGATCTTAAAATCGTYCAGAATGGTTCCACCACACTAAATGGATCAGTAGTCGTTGCTCGCCCTCAGRACAACTCATTTAAAGCCACATATCCATCTGGAATATCGGTGACACTTACAGAATCTAAAGGRGCTCTCTCTATCTTAGTMGCTTTACCAAAATCGTTTAGAAATAAGACGAAAGGTCTTTTGGGAACTTGGAATGGTAACAAGCTTGATGACTTTACTACACCAAGTGAGAGTGTTCTTCCTGACGACGCAACTAGTAGGGAGATTCACTTTGAGTTTGGACAGAAATGTAAGTGCACATTTTTCTTCTAGTTACATAACGCTATYCACCTTTCTTACTCGATATTGAATACTGGGAAGATAAAGGTCATGTTCCTAATTTATGCTTTTYATGTACTCATCTTACTTATTTAATTAGGGCAAGTTAACGAGACGAGTTCTCTGTTTACTTACAACGTCAACGAGTCTGTCTCTACCTTCTCTAACACCTCCTTTGTACCAATGTTTGTCGACGAATTAAAGTTTGCAAACAAAACTCTTGAGAAACAGGCTATGGCTGAATGCAAGGGCGATATCAATTGCTTGTTTGACGCAGCCTCTACAAATGATATCTCAGTGGGCCTGGACACCAAAGTAGTTGGTTCTCAATTAGTTAACGACTCTGCAACGCTGAGTAGGTTTACTTTTATATGTAAAACTAACTTTTACAACTGTAACTTTTTAACTTCAAAGGTTTACATTAAAATGGTTTTTATTAATTCTAGCAGTCTTTTTATCGAAAAGAAGGTGATTTTTGATGAAGTTGTATTTATTTTTTGTTGGCAAATATGTCCTCAATGTRCAACAGCCTTTTGTGGAATTTGTTTTCCTTTTTCTTATTCATGTGGGCCTTTAAGATTTTTTTAACATTTAAAACTTTTTTTAGGTTTTTTATTGTATTTTATTCTTTATTTCAAACAACTAGGAATAATGGCAATGCTTATTGCAATATCTTTTATCAATTCTAAGATCAAATCAACAATATCAAAAATTGCCTTAAGTGGCCTTTTTAAAAAGGTTTCCAGTAGATTTACTTGTGTTATTTTCTCTTCAAGGCAATTCTCCACCAAAATTTCCAAACTATACATCAGCAATACTTCTTACGATCAATGTTACGAAACATCTTCAAATCCCTGTTGAGGACAATGATGGGGATTCTATTACATTCAACGTAACTGGATTACCAAAAGGTGCCATTGTCACAACAAACAGTTCAACAGTTTCGGTATCGTGGGATGTTTCGATCGAAAAGGTAGTATTATTTTTATATTTCTTTTCACGCATCGGAAATTCTTGACCTCTTTAGATAAGGGGCACTAGCTAGATTATAAGTTAAGGCTGCGATTTGCCCATAAATGTTATGACTAATTGTCTTGTGTGATAAGAATTGACATAAAGATTTCGCCTGAAAGACTTTATTTTTTTTAGTAACAACTAATGAAAGGAGAACGAATGAATAAACTTAGCTTTTGTTTTTCATTTTTCCTCGTCTGCAGGTTAGTCTTGAGGTTATTGCTACAGATGACAAGGGCGCAGTTTCTGTTTTAAGACCACTATTCTATTTATGCGCATGCCACAATGGAGCAGAATGTATTAAACCACGAGATGGAATCCAAAGCCAAAGCGACAATCATTTTACAATCCTACCATGCGACTGCAAAGGTGGTTACGCAGGACAGTATTGTGAATATGATATCGATGCTTGTAAAGTCAATCTAAATCCATGTTATCCTGGGGTTGAGTGTAAAGATCTTCCTGCCCCGGCAAATGAGAGTGGGTACGAGTGTGGACCGTGTCCATCTGGATTTTCAGGRAAGGGCGATTCATGYGAAGGTATGAGTTCATRCTCAATGAATGCGGATATCAAAGAGTAGTACTGTTAGTTAAATGCTGTAGACATTGTGATACATCTTGCTGTGCTCATTATTWTTATATATTTGTTCAGATATCGATGAGTGTCGAGATGGCTCTAATCACGGYTGTTCACAAATATGCTACAACAACCCTGGGTCGTTCGTTTGTGGTTGCAAAAATGGTTACACTCTGAAAAATGATGGATCTACTTGTGAAGGTATAATCCATATCAAAACTGGCCCATGCAACAATGATTGTTTCTCTTAACAATAGTTTTGCTTTCTTCATCCGAATTATCTTYGACAGATGTCAATGAATGTCAACCTTTAGCTGATTGTATGCAGAAGTGTGAAAATACTCCTGGAAGCTATCAATGCAGCTGTCACAAAGACTTCAAAGAGGACCCTTCTGATCCAAAAAAATGCATCCGTGAGTTGATTTTCTTTATGTCTTTTTGTTGGAATTACTCCTTTTTTGGCTGTGGAAAGTACATTATCCGATTTGTATTGATTTTCATTGTAGCCAAGTTTCCGTGCAAAGATGGGGACCATGGTTGCCAGGATATTTGCTTCGAGTCTAATAACGTAGCGACCTGCGCCTGTCGTATGGGATATCAGCTACAATCAGACAAAAAGTCATGCGCAGGTACTAATGGTCTTCTTTTCTCAATGGATAATAACTGAATCTTTTACAATTTTTGATAAATCTAACACTGTGTTCAAATTTTCTTAAACTTGTTCTTGTTGAAACCCAGCGCTTTTATACCAAAAATGGCCCAGTTAATTATAAAAAGCCTGAAAACACGCCAATGAATCTTCGTAATTTAGGGATTTTTTTTGTATTAGATATCGATGAATGCAAAGCAGGACTAGACAGATGTAATCAGCTATGCTACAATAATGGAGGCGGTTACTATTGCACTTGCCTTAAAGGTTTTCGTCTCAGTGCTGACAATGTGACCTGTGTGGGTGAGTTATTTCATAAAAAAAAAATACATTTCTGATAAAAACTACTTGATTATCTTTGTTGCAAAACGATCCCCTGCAAGTAATTATGCTATTGATTTCCAAATACAAGGATTATTTCAGTCGTTTCTTCCTATTCGACAATAKTCTTCTTCACGGCCGGCTCACTACGCCCTTTTGAAGGTAACCGTGCCTCTTCATCGCAGTGAGACCACCAATGACTGATGTACAAACATTAAAAATCCTTCTTTCAATAAAACATTATTCACTGGCTTCTTTGCAAGCTCAACGCCAATTTTGCTCCAATGCATTAGTACGGCTGCCCAACTATACGTTAGAGCAAACTATCATATTTTACAATTCTTTTCTACAAAACGTTTTTACAATTTTAAAAACTTGTTGAATATATCAATCACCTTGCAGATATCAATGAATGCCTGGAGTGGACCTTCAATTGTTCAGCCTCACTGAGGTGCGAGAATACCATTGGATCCTACAACTGTAGATGCCAAAAAGGCTTGTATTGGATCGATAACAGGTGCCGAGGTAAGTAATTGCAGTTTATTCATAATTAATCAATTAATTGAATCCATGGTTAATGTTGACACATTCTGGAATCTGTGAAGGGTCATGGTCAATCGAATAACCGTGTCTTCACTGTTTAGAAGTACTTTCTGTAAGAAGTATTTTTTCAGAACATTGAAAGTATAGAAACACAAGCAATTTGTGAAAATAATTGCATTTGTATTGTGTATTTGTCCCTTTATTGCATTGGTATATTTTGTGTCAAGAAAAAAGTGATAAAGCAAAAAAACGTGGTGATGCCATTACATCTACACAATGCTCTYACCTCATGTAAASTTTGTATCTCTTTACGTTTTAGAACTTACAACAGGGGAGAAGAAACCTGCCCCTAAGCCTCCACCAAAACCTCCAACCCCCTCCAAAGAAGATCTCCGTAATTCTGTTAACGTTACAATCAAAGAACTCGACACTGCAGAGGTAAAAAAATAATGTAAACTTTTTAAACATGCTTTTGTCATTTTGAGCTCGTATAAGCATACCCATAAATTAGGTCTTAATTTTTCTGGCATTTAAAACAGCAGGAAAAAGAGTTAACAAAAACATTTAATAAAAATCAAACAGGAAATATGCTTGCTTTTTTGGCTTGATCRTATCTGAAGATTAAGATAAACAAGGCTAATATCAAATTTTAAGTTTTCTTCTCATATTTGTTTGAATCTGTAGTCCATTCTCATTTTACATAGGTATTCATTTTTCTTTTTAGTGGAATCTACAACTCGACCTTGACTTTAAAAAGGGTGTAGCACGTGAAGTAACTACATTTTGTGCGAAAAAYARTTGTCTTCAACAAAAWGGACGYCRGAGGTAAAGCGATCGATATTTGATTATACTGTCACTTGTACTAATGCTTTTAAAGGTCTGGAGAGTGCATGAAATACCTATGTAAGTTAATCTGTTTATCCAAAGATAATTTGAGATGCTAAACATATTAGTTCAATYTCATTTCTTAGCATGCCACATATTAATTGACTGTAAGTAATTCTGTKTAAGTGTCGTGTATTTTTTCATGCTGTTGAGTGTTCGTATGATATTGCTGTTATTTTTTTGTGTTGTTTGTTTCACACAAGAATGATGGCTAATATTTYTRCATGCMACTGCTGCATAAAACTGTGCAATATATAAAGTGCAATTTCACTCCAAGAGTTGTGSAAAAGAAAGTTATGGGACAAAAATAGTAAATCGGAATATAAGCATATAGCACACTATTTGCGGCTTACTATTCTCAAAGAAAGCTGCTCGAATAGATCTTATATAATAACTACGAATGCACGTTATTCTGGTTTCCTTTCTTATCAGACGGTCAAACAGCTATATAACATTCACTTCAAACCATGTAAACCTTGTTGGTTTCCCAAAGCAGCTTTTTAATGCACGATCTGGCAGTATGGACGCCCTTGTCGTATTCTACGTCAAATTTCCATCAGGAGTTGCTTCTGATCTTGGTGACTCTCTTGACGGTGATATACTTGTCGATATCATTAATGGCTCACTTGGTAATATCGGCAAAGACATTGGAAAGACCTTGTTGTCAGTCTCAAGGTACACGGCTCAAATTCAGAGTACCACAGCGTCTCCAGAAACGACCTCTTTTGGGCATGTTACTGAAAAGAGTAACTCACTTGCTTATATCATTGGTGGATCAGTTGGTGGTGCAATCATTGTTATAATACTAGTGGTTGTTATCATAAGGTTGGTGTACATAAAGACAAAATAAGTCATCTTTATAAACAATGTGTATAGAGAAGCCGTATTTAAAGGAGGAGCCAACGGGGTCTGTTCTTCTAGATACTTTCTGTTGTATGAATTTCTCTCCTGGGAAAKGGATTTTGAGCTACATTGTTGACGATCTCAAAAGAAAATGTGACGTCCTTCCTTCTTTTAAATATTTTTTTCTCCTGGAAAACGTCTTTAAAGTCAAAAGTGGCTTTTGTAACGTTTTTTTATGGCCAAAAAGGCTTCTATCTTTTTAGTTAGCAAATTTCTATCTTCTTGGCAAAAATTCTTATAAGGTTTTCCTTGCCTGGAGAGTTCTCGTTTTCATGAATTTCTCGCTGACAACCAATTGTGACTTACAGCTTGCTGGGACATAAGAACAGATATATTTCTCTCAGGAACCCGTCGGCTCCTCCTAGTTTTAAAGCATTGATTTCATTAGGGACTAACTCAAGGAAAAAAAATGAGGGAAGATTGGGCGTTTTCTATCATTGTAATCCTTTTTCACTAAGAGCTCAGTTTTGGATGTCTACAATATGCAAGAAATGATCTTTCCCTTATCTTTTGCCATAGACATTGTCTTCCCCACTGTCTTCGACAGCCTTTATTTCAACAAAAGATGTCATTATTTCCACAGTTGCTGTAAAAGACAAAAAGCAAAGAAACCTTCCAAGGACGAAAAGATTATTAGCGTTGAGATGAACCAATACCAGCAGCCGTCTTTTATCTTTGAAAACCCAAATAGAGAATTTAACATGTAATGAACCTTTTAATGACCACTCCAAACACCTTATCTCGTGTGTGCTGATAAATTCATAAAAAAAGCAATTCAGCATTTTGTTTCACTCCAATGTCTGAGCTACAACCGCTACTAGTAATATCCTTGATATATCTTAAGGATTTCGTAGGTAAGTTATAGTCAAGAAACCACTTTACTTATAAGTAATACCATGGAACGAGGGAAATTAGTGATTAAATTTCCCCGAAACCGAGGGAAAATTTGTGGAAGGTATCGGGGAAATTTAATCACTAATTTCACGAGTGACATGGTATTACTTTGTAATACTATTATCGGCGAGGAAGTAAGGAAACATCTTTGATATCATGTTCAGTTTTCTAGTCAAGGAAGCGTAAACAACGCCGCCAAAATGCATAACTAGCTCTTTAGCGTATTGTACACCTAGGACACCTAGGCTTGATAATGATGTAATCAAACAATAGTTTTCAAACACATTACTTTGTCTTCATTGTGTAATTGATTCAACATTTGTTCGTTAGTACTATTTCATGCACTTGTTTTGTAGTCCCTTAGGGCACCAAAGATAATATTTATATCGCAGAATTAAAATTCGTATACAATGCTCAAACAACATGTCTGAGAGGTTTTCGTTTAGAACAGACAGCTAAGTTCAATGAATTAAAATTGATTATATCAGTTTTGCTGTATTGAACGCTATTTCTTTCGATGCTTCATTTCGATTTGGCAAAAGTGTAAGTGCAATGTGGTGCTATAGCAAACGATTTTAAACAAGTGATTTTTCATTATATTTTTTATGTGACTGCGAATAAATCTGTCATAGACATTTTCGTTTTTTTTAACTAAGTGCACAGGCATGCGCAGTTAGGTAAACAATGTCCCACATGCAAGACATGCTAGTGCCATATGGTGTAGGAGACCTGTTTTCAGTAGAAATTCTTTTGAGGGGTATCTAGTCTACTATATTTTCATTGTGCAAGGCATTAGGGAAGTATAGAAGGCAAAGGAACTCCAATTTTCCTCATGAATAACATGAGGGAAATTTAGAAGACAAAGGATTCTTTTGTCTTTTGCTAAATTTCCCTCTATTTAATTTATGCAAGGGAAATTTAGTAAAAGACAATACTAAATCTCCCTTGC